GCCCTAAGTTTGGAGTAAGAAGAAATAATAGGAAGAATGCATAGGTAAGAGCATGAACAAGAATCTGCTACGTCATTGCCTGAGTGAAGAAGTTGATGTCAACAGGTAAGAAACGTTGCAGACGAACTGACCATCACTGGGAGTCAAGAGACCAAACCCAAAAAAACAGCAAACGGCCAGTAGGAAGACCTCCAGTCGATGACAACATGAATTGAAAATGGTCATCGGATGAAGATGAATTTGAATCACAAAAATTCATGACAAAATCAAGGTCTTCAGGCATTAAGCTGCGAATCGAAAAAGACTAATGACCATGATCAAGAAACAGTTTAAACAAAAAAGGGGAAGAAATAGCTTAGACCAGGTTAAGCTAGAGTCATGGATCATCGATCAGATGGGCTAAGATCTAGCAAAAATATATAACATAAGCACAGCAGAAGGATAAATACCTGGAGGCATATCCGGAAAAGCAGCAGCTGGAACGCTAACACCGTTGTACACTCCACCTTGACAAGTGTAATACGCAGGCGGCGGGCAGAAACACCCTCCAAGTGGAGCCACGTACGGAGGAGGAGCGGCAAACGACTGAACCTGTCGCGCTAAAAAATATGTTAAAATTAAATGTTCAATTAGTACACATCAATCAACATGAGCATTAACTAAAACCTGCATCATCGGAATCCCGAATTCTGTGTTAGCAGTAATCGTCCCAATATAAAATATCTGAGGTAAATATAATTGCTATTGGGGAACGATAATTCATAAGCGCAACAAGCAGAACCCCTCACCCTGCAGCACAGACGGAGTTAATTAGTGCACAAAAATTAAGCTAAGTAGCAAATATTTAACTCGTTGATCAAGTAATTACATAACTGATTAAGGTAACTTCCGTAAAATAAATAAAAATTTGCTTCTGCGGGAGGACATGGTTTTTCGATTGATCTGCTAGTGAACGCGAGGACACCGATCATGAAAATCAATGCAAACGGGATTTTTAGCTTGATAACGGGCGTAGCACTGCTTTCATAAGGTCTACAGGATTTATCAGAATTCGGCATTTACGATACTGCTTGTAACGCTCATTCAATTAAATCTAGTCTTCCAGCAATGAGCTAAGTGCCTCAATTTAAAATAAATCATTAGTCAGTGATACAATTAATTCAATTATTATCGTCATTTGATAAACACGAAGTGATGTTCAGAATGTAAAGAAATTTCTATAAATTGTGAAAAAGAACTGAGTGACCAGCAGCAGAAACGAGATTAGTTCGAAGGATTGCTGGAGTGATAAGACAAGACACGGAGAAATCGTCATTAGTGAGCTGCTCCTTCTGTATATCGAGAGAATACAAAAGGACCCAACAGTAGTGGTTTGGGAGAGGGGGTGATCAGTAGGACAAAAGAGACCAAAGGATTGCAAGGCGAAGTTTATTCACAAAGGTATATGGCAGGTGGCCAAGAAGCAGATCAATGGAAAGAGCGCTACGGTGATCTGTGTGACAGCTCATAGAAAAGCAGTCTATAGTGCTGTGAAAATCGGCTGATGACAAGGACAGTTGGACAAATTCTTGAGCCAAAATGAAATAGTAAAGGAGGTGAATGAACGAAAAACAAAACAGTATCGCTCAGCAAAGTCTCTGCAATAAATGTCTTTGAGTTAATCGAAGAGTTTTACACAATTTTTTTAGGGAGTGCATCCAATTATTTAAGTCTTCATCATTGTTTCAAGTCGATTTTCATCCCCAAGCTTACCTATGGTCAAGAATCATGGCCATGACTGAAAAACTACGATCAA